CTGATGGCAGTTTTCATCATGGGAATAAATAAGAAATAGGTTAAAAGAGAAAACTGTGGCACAAGCAGTTTGGATTTAAGCACAAAAATGGTCATTTATAAGATCTAGAGATGTCACGTAGAATGTATATTTCCATATACCATCTCACAGAAACTACAAATACAAGTTTGCTTAGTTAATGCTTGAATTGACATATGTATAATTTCTTAGCTCATTTCCTGCACTGTGCTATTCCATATTACACTATTATCCTACAAAATCTGCATTACTGTGTATAACTGCTGTTTCACAGAGCTAGCTTAGTAATTATGGTGAATTTTTCTGCATTCCTCCTCAGTTTTCATAGTAGGTATCTCATGCACTAATGCTGTACAGATTGAAAATCTGAATTTTTAGATCAGTAGTAACTTTTGAAGTTACTTTCAATGAAATTATAGTTAGAATTAAGAGAGTAAAACAGGTGAATGAGAAAACAAAAGAAAACATCTTGAATGGCATTTGAATGAAGTGTAAAAGCCAGATTTGCTATGTGTACAATCCCTAATAACATACACCTAAAAGACTTTAAAGTATTTAAAGAAAATTGGATGAGAAGGAAAGTATTCATGAAATGGGCTCTTAATTCTTTCTATTTTGCAACATATTTTCTTTAGTCTTTCTATTTTGCTTTACCATATTGAATAATAGTGTAAAGACGTAAAGATGGACTTCAAATATCACATTTTTAAGTTTTTATTATGCTTCATTTTTGATGTGGATATTACTGACCCCTAGTTATTACTGCATAAGATTTTAAAATAATAGAAATCTCTGCTGTGATGTGGTTAGGAGCAGGTCCCAGCAATGCACAAATCATGGGGTGTGTTGCGATTTTCATCTTGACAAGTACATCAAGCCTTGGTTCCTCAAGGTTGTGGCCCTGGGCGTGAACCTCTACAGACTTGGCCCGGGTTTCCTGTTTATAACAGAATAAGGTGTCTTTCATCTCAGTTGCAAAACAAGCACAGAACTACTTGGTGTTGAGGTTTAATATGTTCTTAGTCCTGCTTCTCACATGGTACAGCTATCTGCACTGTTGCATTTATGTCTCATCCCCATGTCAATGTAATGATGTGTGTACAGAAAAATTCTTCTAATTTCCTCACCAGAAATAACAGCCAGTGAGTATGCATTAATTCAACATTCTTAGAGTATAAGACCACAATGGCAAGGGCAGCAAAACAGACATTCAGAATCATGGGATTGCCTAAATATTTTCACTGGAATTCTTTTCACTTTACTTTGTAAGACCTTGTGTTAAACCCTTGTGAGCACATGCTATTTTCTCCACGTTCTCTGGTCAAAATACTGTCACACAACCACAAATCAACCTACCAGAGAATCCTATAAGTTGGGTTTGCAGGAAAGTCACAGATTAGGAAGAGATGTGGAATGAACCAGTAAGCTGTTATGTGGCATATACCTGAAGATACAGGGTGGAAGGCTCTGCAGCAAAGTTACTATCTGAGGTAGGGAGAACATGCTGCCTGATAGGGCCTCATTCAGCAGCACACCCACAGCTGCACTGCCGGACTGTGGCCTTCCACTGCTGCTTGATAATTTGGAAACCAGACTAACAGCTAAAGCCAGCACTGCGAGTTTTGTGGGAGATTCAGCCCAGTCCCATAAATTAAAAAAGTTCAGTCCAGGCTAGATGGGAGTGTGAATCCACGTTTGAAGAGTCTAGCTCTGCCAGTGCAGAGACATCTCTCCGTGCCCACGTGAAAGGGACAATCAACAGAGGAACATGTTTTCCTATTTCTTACTTCCTATTTTAGGCTTTTGCCTGAATATACTTCAGTAGATCAATAGCAATCCTCTCTTGGCTTTATATTTGAGAGAGAAACTTGTATTCCTCAGATTATTTTCTTTTTCTACATTTCTCCTCCCCTTGTTAATCATATCTTGCTTCCAAACATCTTTCTTCAAGTCTTTATATGCAGATAGGATGTGCCTGTTTGTATGCCACTAAGATGAAGAAATGAAAAGATTCATAAATGCAAACTAATATATTAAAATGTGCAAGACTATATATTTCGATCATAGCTGAATACTCCCTGGTCTATTCTGCCTGCTTATTCTAGTAAAATGTGCACGCCAACATATAAAAAGTTATTTCAGACTGCAGAATTTCTTTACCCAAGCCAAGCCAAACGAACACAGGAATAGTAGAAGTACACAAGCCAAGGAAAATGAACTTTTTTCCCTCCTTCTGTGACAGTTTTGGAGGCAGCCAATTATACATTAAAAAAAAATCATGAATGAGCAGAGTAATTTTGGAACTATAACTTAAAGTGAAGTATTCCTCTAAATGTTAAATTATTATAATCATGACATCTTAACAGTTTTTTGTGGTTCTGCATTCTTCTACAAGGACTAATTCTAAGTAAACCTATATACTTTATAAAAAGACCATAATCTTTTACTACTAGTAAGACTGCTACTCTTATGAGTGTTACATATAAAGGAGTTTTTACATACAAAAACAGAATGTGGTCATTTGTGGGATCTATAGGTTACATTGGGGGCATATTAAGGGAGTGATGCATGTGCCAAATCTATTAGCATATTTTACAGTGTCTAGATTTCTCTATTTTGTGCTATTTTACACTTTTTCTACTTTGACATAAATGACCTCATTAAAAAGAAATTGTAATAATTATACATAGTTTTTTCAGTGTTTCAAAATAGGAACATTTCTGGCTACAGCTTAGTTCTGTTTTTTGACCTCCATCTGTATGTGTCTCCTTAAAAAAGAAGAAAAAATTAAATCAAATAAATGAAAATTCTGCTCACACAAGGGAGTTAGTTCTCTGCTGAATGACATAACCATTACTACAGTCAGTCTGAGCTATAGTCATCCTGCCCAACCATTCAGTGAAACTAAAAGAGGAAAAGGATATTCTGAGAACTGAAAATTACCTTTCCAATTCGAGCAAATTATTTTTGCTTTCCAAGCCAGTGGAGGAAATCACTCAGCATCATATTGAGTACTTTCTTCCCTACATATTTATGCTGTGCTAGATTTGTAGCAGTTGCTGTCACCATTCAATATCTTACATAAAAAATTACGTTTTTGTTACAAGAGTGAAAGTCTATTTTTGCAATCACAACTTGTGACTTTGGGATCTAGTACATTGCAGTGAACCTTACAGTGATCATTACTCTGTAGCTGGGGCTAGAAATATTGTTTTCAACATCTGGAAAATGAGTGGTTTTTCCTCTGTGGATAGTGAGTTGAGAATGTGCTACTGGGAGCTGAGCATATTTACCAAAAAACTCCAGTCAAAAATTATAACAATACTGAGTATTCATAGAGCTCTGAAAATACTCTAAAAAACAAAGGCATAATATGTAAAAGATATCCAGAAAAAAAACATGTAAATGCAAGAATGTAAAAGTTAAACCAAAACTGTACCACTGCACTCAATTTACATACAGTGATCACACACACAAATAAGGGCTGAATAAGTCAAGCAAGGCTACAGGACCAGGCTCAAACTAAATATGGCTTGAAGCATAATTTGGAAGTCAGGCTATGAAATTTTTCAAGAAAATCTGATTTGCAGTTTCTACAATCAGCAAGAGTCCATATTTCACCTCCATCCTCCTCCCCAATGCTCTTGTGCAGATCATATCCTCCAGCCTTCCCTGAGACGGCACACATGATGTCATCACAGGGCAGCTCCCCACTATACTGATTCAATGATGAGAGTGAATGGACAGGTCAGACTTAAAGGGGTCCTAGAATTACATTTCCTTAGGGCATTACTATGTTATTGACTATCAAGGTATACGTTTCTTAAGTCAGGTATTCCAGTTCTAAGGTAATCAAAAATTCATAGTGAATATACTCTTCGAATACAAACTTTCTGCCCTTCAAAACTGCTTTCTAAGTGACTTGTCCAGATTAATTTCAGAAGTATATTGGCACTGGCATGTATCAGTTTCACCAAGGACCATCATCCTCCTTCAGTTTTTTTATAAGTTTTTGAAAGGGAGACCCAGTTACATGGAGACAACAGCTATTTCGCCTAATTGATTACAAACACTGAGGCAAACTGAGCACTCTTTGTGTGGGAATCTGTTAGTCTCGCTATAGAATATAAATTTAGTCCTTCACAGGTTACTAGTTTGTCCACTGGCAAGCAAGGTAACTTGCTGATTGCAGCTTTATAATCTCTCTAGATACATATGCTGACAAGTTCCAGAAAGCATGTAAAAGCTGCAGCCACTAAAGACCTCAAACATCAATAACAAAACAAACATTAATGCAGTGCACAGAAAAGCAGAATAGGAAATTCACACGTACATGCGTTTTGAGTTTCTAACAGAGAACACATGCTTCTTCTCCCTCTTAGGATATGTCCTTACATCAGTGCCTGCTTTCTGGGAGATTTCTGAACCCACACTGAACTTCATAATTGCAAAGAAGCTGTCACTGCACTTACAGTTGTGAAAAGTGCTTTAACTTTGAGCATTTACTAGGCTTTTTAGATGACTTTTCTGTGCCCCCTGCGCAGTCTGCAGTAATACTTATCGGTATCTGGTAGCTGTCATTAAAACCTTAGATTTTAATAAACCCTACATATTTGGCATTTGTCCTATTGCTGTTTTGATTTTTGAAACTGCAGGTTTCTTGATTTTGTATGTACCTACACAGTGAAAATTGGCAATTTTAAGAACATGCACGTAATTACGTGCCTCAGATACCAGCTTGAAAAAACACAGAGCAGAAGGAGACTTGAGATACCACTACAGATCCAGAAGTCTACAGTTTTCAACACTGAGAAGACATGGAAGCTGTACAAGACAGATCTTAAATTCAGATGGAAACCTAAGGAGACATCTAACTTGACCTGTGTATAATCGATGAATGTACAGATGTTATAATTATGAAATATACCAGAGAGCTTGGCTAAGCAGGTTATTACACAAAAGAAAATAGATAGAATACTTACCTATATCCTGGGCTTGCTGTAGAACTCCAAAGGAGGGATCTCCAGAAGAGATTCTTTCCCACTGGCAGTCAGCTCTTAAAATGGGTCTAGGAGAGGTTGAGCCAGGCTCCACCCCTTCCGGCAGCACTGTATAAATCTACCCTATTCCAGTTTAAAGCCATTACCCTTTGTCCTGTCTCTGCATGTCCTTTTAAAAATTCCTGTAGGCCATCTTTCCTGTAGGCCCCCTTCAGGAGCTGGAAGGCCGATGTAAGGTTCCCCCTATTCCTTTATTCAGCATCTTCATCAATGAGGTGAATGGAGGGATACAGTGCACCCTCAGTAAGTTTGCTGATAATATAAAGTTGAGAGGGGTGGCTGACACACCAGAATGGTGCTACCATTCAGGAAGACCTGGACAGGCTGACGAGTTGGGCAGAGAGGAACCTGATGAGATTCCCCAAGGGAAATTATAGAGTTCTACACCTGGTAAGGAATAACTGTACATACAAATACAGGTTAGGGGGTGACATGGTGGAAAGGAGCTAAGAGGACTTAAGTGTTCTGGTGGACAGCAGGTTGACCACAAGCCAGCAGTATATTTGTGGCCAAGAAGGTCAATAAAAAGAGTGTGGCCAGCAGATAGCAGGAGGTGATTTTCCTGCTCTTTTCTGCTGTGTTGAGGCCCCATCTGGAGTATTGTGTCTACTTTTGGGCTCCCCAGTTCAAGAAAATTGACTACTGGAAAGATTCCAGTGGAAGGTCACAAAGATGATTAAGGACCTGGAGCATCTGCCTGATGAGGAAGGGCTGAGTGACCTGGCACTTCTCAATTTGGAGAAGACTGAGAGGGAATTATATCAACACATACAAATATCTAAAGGACAGATGTCAACTGGATAGAGTTAGGCTCTCTTCAGTGGTTCCCAGTGCTGAAAAGGGGTAATAGGTGAAAACTAGAACACAGAAAGTTGTACTTGAACATTAAAAAAATAATGATAATAAAAATAAAAAAAATCACAGTGAATTCAGATTCAGCAGTGGAACATACTTCCCAGAGCAGTTGTGGAGTCTCCTTCTCTGGGTGTGTTCAAGAACCACATTGACACATTCCTGTGCATCCTACTGTAGGGAACCTGCTTTAGCAGGAGATCATTTCCAGAGGTTTCTTCCATCTCCTATGATTCTGTGATTCTGTGGCTATAAGCAGCACAGGCAGTCAGGTTTCCTGCAGGTTACAAAGGCCAGGCACATCAACATAGATTAGAGTTCCAGTGTCATACTAACCTTTGAAAGACTCTATTCCCCAGGGGCTTCATTATGTACCAACAACACCAAATCACTTTTATGTTTCTATCTTCCTCGGTCATTCACAGAGAAACTGCAGGCTCTCTTTGTATAGGGTCTATCTTATGTGAGAAATTTTCCTTGTTTCTTTTTAAATGTAAGGTAGCTGCAAACTGGCTTTGGTCTTCTATGCAGCATATGGCCTGAGCCCCTTCTCCACTCCACTAAAGCATATTCCAAAGTGTCCTGGGCAGAGTATGCAGTTTTGGTTCCATCAAAGTAATTCCAGCAAAGAGAGCAAAAAAGCAACAAGTCAGTACCAATTGCCTAATCACAGCAATCCTTGAGACTGCTGTAAATGGGATCAAACTATTCAAGCTAGATCCTAATCAACAGTCAGTGCAATCAATGGGGAGCAGACACTGTCATCTACACACTCATTTTTGGGGTTTGTAATATTTAACATTTGATTTATGATGGTGAATTTTGTCCTGGAAAACACTCACTATGTGATACTCTTCATTCCGTCACCCGTTAAAAATCAAAACCTTACCCATGTGAAAGCCTCCTGCTGAGTTCACTATTTTGGATCAGGACTCTGGATCTAAAGTCTGGAAGATAATATTCCATTTCTGTCCAATTTTGTTGCTCAGATTTTGAAGAGGCTCAAATGTTTTTCATCAAAACTTTTATGTTTAATTCTGAGAGAATCTTCACAGTGCATCAGGTTACTGTGAGATATGACCCACATTCATATGTAAATTTTCCAAAAAATCTCAGGCTGAAGCAGACCTCTGCCTCAGCAAATTTCAGCCCAGATGGCTAAAGTTTGGCAAAGATGCGAGCAGCTAAAATAGTTTTACAAAGGAAAGCGTGTATGACTTCAATAATAGGAGAGCATTACCATGTACCATGTATGATAAGATTTTACAACACAAACCATAAGGGGAGAATTCAGGCAGGATTAATTCATCCATGCTTTGGAATATATGATCTATCTCTGTTCTTCTCTTTTTTCAAAAGTTGTTTCAGAATTCAGTCTTATTTTTTTATGATCCCTCAGACATTGCCGTTGCAACTAGGCAGCTCAAAACTGGCCTTTCTCTCCCCTACTTTATTAAATAAAGGTTATCTCAGAAGTGTAAAACCATGCCAAGTGGATAAAAGAGGCCCAAACTGCCATAGTTACTCTCATTAAGAAGTCATATAGCAAAGGAGAAAAGCTGTGCAGATGAACTCTAAGCTGTTCAACAAGCATTGCTTCATTTTCAAAATAAAAGCCTGACTTGAGGTGTCAATACAAGAACATGTGCACAGCTTCAGATCTATGGTTCCTTAAATCCCCCATATGTCACAAAGACCCTCTTAGACATAACACATATGATTTAATACAGATTAATTGTAAGTTTTTGAGTTACATTTCTGCCTTCATCTCATCTCTGTCAATTCACTCCTATTGAGCAGGTTGTGAGGACATGAGCTGGAATTTTGTTTAGGGCCATGTAAGAAGTTTGCTGTAATCTACACCTGTGTAAATTCCAAGTACCTTCATTAGCATCAATGAAAGCACAGTTTGGCTTGAAACACCAACTGCAACAAGATTAGAAGATGTTTTGTTTTTTTTTATAATTAGGTGATAGCTTCATAATAAAATGACTTCATAGGCAAAGTGCAGATCTGACGGATTTGTGCTACTCTGCTATAGAATAAGTGAGATTGGGCTTTGTGTTTACTGGAATCCCATCCCAGGTATATATTCACAACATCTCTCATTGTGAACCTCTTGTTCTTCTCCTTGAAAAGAGCATGTTCCAAGAATAAGTACAATGCTTCTTCACAAGAGATCTGCAAATAACTGCAAATCATATTAGCTTTGATAAGTATTGACCCTCCCACATCGGTGCTGAGAAGATACACTACACAAATCAGCACTACTCAGGCATATTACCAAATAATAAAGGACCAGGGTGAAACATGTTTCCTATATACAAGGAGCAGCGCTGCCTCTCAGAGAATTTCAAGAACTATCACCCTGCTTTAATATTTAAAAATACTACAAAATTTCCACTTGCAAAATGCCTTCTGAAAAGTACTATATTACAGAATGATTCAACCTTTAAGTAACTGGGGGCAAGTAACCCCCAAACACCTTGATTCCAAAGTGTTTTTATTAGTGAACGCATTATGTTAGGTTTATATCATACATATCCTTGAAACCCAAAAAATGTAGGAAGCTCATTTTGTGACTGACTCGTTATGCACTGATTTTCAGTCCTTTCCCTTTTTTTTTCTTTCAGTCTGTCCAACTATGTCCATCACCCCACCCATAAATCAGGGTTTTATGATGGAAATTCTAAATGGGCCTTTGCTACAGTGGTGCTTGCAGGCATTGTCATAATAAATAATTTCCTATTTCATGAATCCTGATGCAATCACAGTAGAATCGGATTCACTAGCATCCCTCTCTCTGTTTTATACAGGAGGAAGAAGGTAACAGGGAAATATCCCTCTTCTCTGAGCTCATCCTTTTAGCTCCCAACCTTAAAACAAGTTTTTAAATTAGCTAAGAGAGAATTTACCACCACAATCCAAACTCTATATTTGTTTTTGTTGGATGGCACCTTGTTCTGATTCATGTTATTCAGATGGATAAAGCTCAGAAGGGTTCTGCTTTACTGCCCTGTTTTTTCTTAATGTTTCTGCATTTTTAAATGCTACCAAATGGTTGCTTTTGGCTCTCAAAATTATCACATGTTGTCTGTAAGTATGGAAATAGTTATGGTAATACAGACATAAATCATAACTGCAAATACCGCATAAATAAGACTGACATATAATTATAAAAATACCTAATAGATTTCAAAGACAACACAGCTGTCCCTTCTAACCTTTCATTTGTAGATTCTTTTCTCTTCTGTTTTTGTTTATAGATTGCTGTGCAGTTGGACACAGAACAACAAGATTTTTTTTTCTAATTTTGAAAAGACAAGGAAAGAAAGAATACTCATTTCATCATAGAGAAACATTAGTATACAATTTTTAAGAGAAACTCACACCAACTCTAGAACATAATCTTGGAATCAATCTTCCACTTAACACGTTTTAAAAGAATCTGTCAATGGCTACATACCACAGTTTAAAATATAATCCTGCCATCAGTCTAAAGAAAGGGTCGGCCAAATGGCACATGTTGGGAAAGAAGCCTCATTCTTTCTCGAAACATCTCAACGTTTTTATGAAAAGAACCACAATAGATTATGATGATACTGTCCACAACCAAATAAGTTTTTTATGCCCTATTCAAGGAAAAACAGGTTGAAAAGTGTTTCAGGTAAATTTACTGTGCCTTGTTAATGAGATGAGTAGAACCTTGCCCAGAACTGACATTGCCAAAAAGGGTTTAACATATTGCCTGACAACTCCCACCTTGCACTTTATCCCTGTCAGGTCAGCTTTGGAGCACTTTAGAGTGAAGTAATTCAAGTGTATTCCAACTCTGTGAGCTTGCATGCTGCTTCATCCTACACAATCATGTGCCTACCTCTCCACTGTTACCTTAAACTCATACATAGAGTCCCAACAATCACAAAAGAGAGGCTACAGACAACATTGCTCAAGCAAAAATTAAGGGAAGGCTGTTATCACTGAAACTTTTGGACATTTTTTGCATAAATAGGCAACCACTTCCTTCAGAAACCTGTACCTACGCCTCCTGCATAACAAATTCAACCCAAACCCAGTTTAACCCAAATTGTGGCAAACATCTAAAAGGAG